CATCCCTTAGCTCTTGCATTTTTTTCTGCAGCTCTGTCAGCATGGTTATGACTTTAAATTTTTTTTTTTTCTGGAAGATTGGTTATATCTATCTCTCCAGGCCCTTTCTGTGGTGTTGTTTGAGTGATTTTGGACTGGACCAGGTTCTTCTCCTTTTTTATGGCAATAGAAGTGATCATTGGCAATTGGTGCATGTATCAGCCAGGAGAACAAAGTCCCTTCCTCATTACTAGTTGCCTTCCCCTCTCCGCTGCCTATACCGTTTACCCGCACATAGGCGTCCGTCTCTGGGTTAATCCCCTGAGCTGCCGTGGGTGGGGTAGGTCTCGGTAGTAGCTCAGAGCCCTGCAGGGAGTGGCAGTCGCGCTAGGTATGCTCTCCTGCGAGAACATCGCCCGTTCGCACCTTGCCCCGGCTTCCTGTCTGTGCCGGTCAGCTGCACGCTGGTGGCAGCCTCTGCATCTGTCCTAGTTAGCTGTGTGCTGGGAGGAGACTCTGGGAGTTTGCTGTGGGTGGGGCCGCTCTGTGGCTGCTTGGCCGCTGTGGCGGGGCAGTGCCGGCAGGGGGAACGAATGGCAGGCTGCTTATCACCGTGAGGGGCTTCAGAGCTGCTTTCCCACTCCTGGGGTTAGGACACCTGAAGTTCCTCAGGATTCCCAGCCTTCTGGGCTGAGTGTGCCGGGACAATTCCATCCAGCTGTTAAGCCCCTGTCCCTTTAAGACTTTCAAAAAGCACTCACTTTTCTTTTGTCCCAGGGGAGCCGGCTATGGGGACCCACTCGCAAATTTTACTTTTCCATTTCTCTAATATCCAGTACACCATGTGCTGTGTGTGTGCTCCTGGTGCAGATTAGTAGGGCTTGGTTATTTAGCAGTCCTGTGCTTACACTCCCTTCCTACCCTGACTCCTTTCCTCCCGCCGGTGAGCTGGAGTGGGGGGCGTGCTCAAGTCCCGCCTGGTTGTGGCTTTGTATGTAACCCTGTTCGTGAGATGCTGAGTTCTTGCAGATGTAGATGTAGCCTGGCTGTTGTACTGTATCTTGTGGTTTCTCTGTTAAGTGTAGTTGTATTTGTTGTATTTTCAAAAATATATATGGTTTTGGGAGGAGATTTCCGCTGCCCTACTCATGCCGCCATCTTGCGTCCTCCTCCCATTTCACTTTTCTAACGTTTTTCTTTGGTGGATGGTTTGTTTATCAGAAGTGACATCATGAGTTGGTTGTTCCTCAGCTTTATCTCTTCCAGCATTCTGCAGTTTTTATGTGGTGATATGGGTCTCTAAATATATAGCCTCTTTCATGGCTCATCTTATCCCAGATTCATCACTTGAACAAATGAAATTTTTTCACACATATATATATATATATATATATATATAGACATTCTTCAGTCCTAAATATTTTTATTTCTGGATTTATTAGCCCCAAATAGAAACTTGCGTTTCTTCTCATTTGAGTTAATTAGTAAAGAATGAACTTCCCGTGTAGTACAACATGGAGAATATAGCCAGTAATTCTGTAACATCTTCCTACTTTACAGATAGTGACGGCACTAGTGGGCAGGGTAGGATTTAATAATATGGATAACTGCTGAAACTTGAAACTTATAGGTTGTATATCAATGATACATCAGAAAAAAAACAAAATCCAGAAGTATCTACCATGTCTCTCTGGGCCACTTTTTGAGAGAATGTTTTGGTGAAAATGGAATTAAAACATTTTTGTCATTTAAGAGACTAGAATAGTAAAAAGTACTTACTTAGTTCCATTAGATTTTACCTAGTAGTTTAAAGTGTTTGTCCTTAAATTAATGCTTTTTCTGTTAGAAGTAACCTTTCTGTTTGCTGCAAAAATTTTACATGTTTCAATATATTAAACTCTTTGAATAGATGCACTGTATAAAGCAACCCAATGTATTTGTACAGAAAATGCAATGTAAAATATGAGTGAGTATTTTTAGCAGTTAAAATATGATTAACAAGTGTAAGAAATACGAAATGCTACGTTATTTGTATGAAGCCTTATGTATTTTTAGATATAGTGTAATTATTCCAATTGCTGTAACTGTAATCATAATGTAGAGTTACTGCCTTAAATATAAATTTTAAAGATCTGCCATTTTTAATTGTATAGAATCTGGGGCATTTGGGGGACTTCAGAGATAACCTCTTAGGCTAGGTTTCGTATATTTATTTATATAAATTTTGAGATTATGAGAGAATCCGTGTGTGTGTGTGTGTGTGTGTGTGTGTGTGTGTAAGTGTTTAATCTATTTTTAGGAGCTGGGTTTGAAGCTGTAAGTCCTCAGATAATTGATGCCTTACCAATTTTTAACCAAGGAAGCATTTTAAAAGTGGTAATAGAGAGAGGGATTTTTGTTGTTTCTGACTGGAAGTTAGCCAGCCACCTCATAAGATTACCCATTACCATTTGCAGACAACCTTACTAGGAATTTCCATGTAATATAAAATAAAATGTTTGAGGTTCTTTTTCTGAATAAGATTTAATATTTCATGTAAGTACCTTTACAGAATTAGTCCTTAATCTTCCCTCATGTATGTTCTTTAGGCCAGATAGTGCCCCATTTTCCCATCCATTCCACATGATTTTCTGAATTTCTACTATCATAGAATTGCATAGAATTTCTACTATCATAAAATACTGCATAGATGCAATATTTTTTAATGTCTCTCTTAACATGTGAGTCCTAGATGAGAAAGTTTTACTGTAACTACAAATAAGATTACAGAACGATTGTAGAATGCCTTTGATATAGTTACTTTATTTGTAATACAGCCTGAAGATTTTGTTAATCAAGATTGTATGGTAGTTACTTAACTAAATCTTTGAATTATCTTACTCTTCTCTCCTGCCCAGTGGGTGGAATTTTAAGTAAAAGTATCTAGTGGGATCAGTAAAATCTTATTTCAGCATCTCTGCAACCCAGGATTGTATTTTTTTTTTCCAGGATTGTATTTTAATGTCACTTCAGTTTTAGAAGAAGAAAACAGTTGCTCTTAGTGAAGGGCAGCATGGTGTCACATATATTATACATATATTTTTGAGACATATTTTCTAGTGTTGAGAAGATTGAGTAGCTATAAAAGCAACTGTAAAATTATAAAATAATATAGAAATAAATGTAAAGGATAGTAAGAGATAAAAAATTTTGCTGATCAAACAAACTTCAAAAGTTTTTTGTTTTGTTTCTTGGGCATTGACAGTCTAATGGAATCTCCCATTTTTTAGTTTGCTGTAACAGTACCAGATAAGAATGTTCATCAGTCAGAATCCCTCTGCCTTTTTTTTCTGTTACTGAAAAGCCTTTGTGCACTGTCTATCTTCTGTTTTAAATGTTCTTCCAGCTGTATCTGTGGTTCTCATTTCAGTATTTTAAGTCACAGCTTACAATATTTTTAGGAATGCCTCTCTGAGGTGCCACCTCCCTCCCATCAATATCACATAACCCTGTTTTATTTTCTTCATATGACAGTATTTCAGAAATTTTTGCCTGTACTTTTCTTCCTTCATGAAAATGTACTTAATGAGGCCTATGGAACCTGTTGGTCTCCTCTAGTGCTGTGTTTGCACTACCTTGAATTAGGTATCTAGCATGTACTCAGCAAATATTTATCTAGCAGATATGCTTGATCTTTTGAGCCTGAGGGGTCTGGTTGGTTGAGTGTAATTCTATTCTTAAATAATTTGTGTTGGCTCTTCTAGATAATGTCTTCAGCATTCCAGAGGTTAGGAGAACAATAATCTCTGCCTTTCTAGGATTTAAGGAATAATAAGAACCCCAAAACCAGTGTGTTGTGAATAGGTTCATGTAATCTTTAGAGATAGCAGAGGTTTTTATTGATTATATAGATTTTAACTTTAAGATGTCTGGGGACAATGTAAAAATTGGTCTTAACTCCCAGATTTTCTGGATGGGAAAAACTGGAACTGAATTAAGTTAATTTAGACAGCTGTCACATAATTATGCAGTGAGAAGAGTATAAGCTTTGGATTCTGATGATGAGTCCAGATCCCTCAACTCATAAACTGTTGTTAGCTTTATGGAGTTAGTTTTATGTTTCCATCTCCTCATTTGTGAAATGGGAGTAACTTGGGGTCAGAGTTGTTGAAAATTGAACCAAGGAAGCCCAGTAGCATATTTAGCCCAAAATCTAGGTAGCCAAATACTTGTTATTTGTAATGTTTTAATATATGATTACTCTGCACATACAATGTGCTAAGCTGTGATTAGATGCAAAGAAGTGAACATGACCATAAATTTTCTGTTCTTGTGCAACTTAAATTCAAGTTAGGGACATAGAAAATAAATTAACCAGGTGATGGTCAGTGCTATGGGGAAAAATAAAGGCAGGGTTAAGGGGTGATAGTGAGACAGATCTTGTTTCTTTAGGGAGGGTAGTTACAAAGTCCTCATTGATGAGATGACTGTAGAACAGAAACCTAAAAGAAGTGCAAGAACAAACCATGAGTAGATACCTGGAGCTTTACCAGTGGTAAATTTGAGAAACAGTAAGAAACTAGCAGAGCTCAGGGATAGTGTCTGATAGTACTGAAGTCAGTCTGGTTTAGGGTCTTGTAGGCTATTGTAAAAAAGTCAAACTTGTGTTAGATTTCAGGGTATATTTTTAGGGCAAAAATAATGCTTAGAAAAAGCAATGCTTTTGTGAGTCAAGTTTGTTATAAATTATTGCCTTATATATTCTTTGTATTCTTACATGTTATGCATGTATACTACTTGGTGTTTTTGGTGTAGATGTTGAACAAAGCAGTTCTGTGGGCTTATATTAATTGGAAGCTTTTCTTGCCAGTGACTTAAAAAATAATTCTAAAAATATTGAAATCTCCATCTCAGTGGTTCCTGTAACTCTTATTCCAAAATAAACAACTTGTAGAATAATGTGGGATTCTGCCTAGAGATTGTTTTTCTTAATGAAATCCTCCTTAATGTTAACTACAAAGTCGTGTTTTTGGTCTTTTTAGATTGTGAATCGGCACGGTCCTGAGGCAGATAGGCATTTATTACGCTGCCTATTTTCACATGTGGATTTCAGTGGCGATGGTAAAAGCAGTGGCAAAGATTTTCATCAGGTATTTGGGGTTACAGGGTTTATGTTCACTTAGATCTAACTGTTCAGTGAATTTTTTGGGGGGAATAGTACACATAGGAAATGACACATACAAGTAGCATCCAGAAATACTCTTAACAGAATGGCTAAAAGGTATTGGGACTTCTCCTTTTTTGGTCTTTCCCTTCTCTTCCTGGCTACAGACAATTACAGTTACCTAGTTCAGGCTTAGAGAGCTGGGGATCCAGACCAGGAAGGAGGAATGTGGGGAAATCCTGTTTGACACATAAGTAAGGCAGAGAGGGGAATCTCTGTTCTAGATTGAGTTTTTTGGGGCTTGATTTTCAGTCTGGTAACAGTTTGTTATGATATTATTCCTTATAGTTATCTTGTCAGTATGCTTTATTCTGTAGAGGTTTTGGTTTAACACTGTTGCTAATAGACTTTAAGTAACTTCAATAGGATTTTTAAAGAGCTGATTTTGATAATGTAGAAACATACAGTAGTGGATTACATTTAATGTTCTGAGCACCTCTGCTTCCATTTGTGCAAGATAACTGTTAATGCTAATGAAACTTGATTTTTATTTTTAAAGACTCAGTTTCTGATTCAGGAGTGTGCGTCGCTGATTACGAAGCCAAATTTTATCTCGACGCTGTCCTATGCTATTGATAATCCATTGCACTATCAGAAGGTTGGTATTGCTTTTATCTTTGGCAGTCCTAAAATGTGATCTCTTATTAGGCTTCCCAAAAAGACCTTAAGCCTTGATCTCGTGGCATGTTTTAATTTTAAAATTGCAATTTAAAATATTACTTCAGAATTTCTGTAGCTTTCTGACAAAAGCAAGACAATTTGAAAATAAATAGAATCTTACTAAAACCAGACCATGTGAAGGTCTGTGTTTGTCAGCTCACAGTTCTAGGACATCGTGTAGTGTTTCTAGAAACACTACAGGATTATGACACTCCTATGTGGTTTCATAATTGGGTGAACATGTGCTTTTAAAACCTTTTTGTATTGTTAAGTTCTTCTTGCTTTAAAATAAAGTTCAATTTGTTTCAGAGTTTGAAGCCTGCACCCCACTTATTTGCCCAGCTGAGTAAAGTTCTCAAGTTAAGCAAAGTACAAGAGGTAAGTGATTAAGAAAAGAGACATAGGCAAAATTAGAATTAAAAACAGCTGCTTGACTCTTTGGTCAATCTAACACTTCTTATTTCAGGTCATTTTTGGCCTTGCCCTCTTGAATTCTTCCAGCTCAGATCTCAGAGGTTTTGGTAAGTTCCCTTTTGCCCACAGACCCTTTAGTGAAACTGGAGTCTTTAAAATCCTTTTTTTTAGTGGATATAAAATACCACTATTTTCTGGTGTACAACATAGCAATTTGACAATGTACATTACAGAATGTTCACCACAAACAGTTATCATTTGTTACCATATAAAGTTAATACAATATTATTGAATATATTTTCTATGCTGTATCCATGGACTTTTTAATCTTGAGGATCCATAGTTGAGATTTTGGGAGTAAGATAGTTTAAAATGATGTTCTTTTGGTCTCTCTTTTGTATGCTAAGAACACATATAAAATTTACCCTCCTAACAATTTTTAGGTGTGCAGTTCAGTAGTAGTAATTAGATCACATTATTGAGTAACATATGTCTGAAACTTCATCTTACAAAATGAAACACACTCTATTTCCCTCCCGCTGGTCCTGGCAGTGGATCTATTTTATACGTACTAACAAGAGGTATGAAAACGGAGGGTGACGGGTGAGTTAGTTGGTGAATGAGAATGATGATCATCTGTATTTTAATGATATGTGACTTTTTACCTATTGTGGAGCTGAAATAATTTGTGTTTTTTGGTTTGCCTGACTTCTAGCTGCCCAGTTTATCAAACAGAAGCTTCCAGATCTTCTGCGTTCTTACATTGACGCAGACGTCAGTGGAAATCAAGAAGGTGGCTTCCAAGATATAGCAATAGAGGTCTTACATCTCCTCCTCTCCCATCTCCTCTTTGGGCAGAAGGGAGCATTTGGAGTTGGACAGGAACAGATAGACGCTTTTCTTAATACGCTGCGCAGAGGTAAAGGAATGTCTGTAGCTTACAAAGGATGATTTCTTTGATTGAACACAAATATATGACAAGGATTTTAGAATACAAATGAAGGCAGTGATGTACCTTCTGTTCTTATACTTGGTAGTCTTTTAAGGGAGTTTTTGTAATTTAGAAAATGAAAGTGAAAGGCCTTATACTGTAGTTCGAAAATTTGTTGTTGTTGATATACCTACTTGACCTTGGCTATTGGCATTATTACCCCAAGGTAACTCCTGATTCCATTGTTGCCATTCTTACTCTGATCCTTCTTTTAGAGAGAGAACTAATCTTTTTTTTTTTTTTTT